AGAATTCTTATAACGCTTAAATTCGGAGGTCAAAGTTCTGGGATTAAAAGTCATAATAGTTGTTTTTTCCCCCCTGAATTACGAGACGAATGAGTAATACTTTTTGGGACAGAATCACGGTTAATATGAACATCCGTGACTGAACCAAACTGAGACGAACTCACCTGTAACACCAGGTGTTCTGCGCTCTCCATGAGTCGGTCCGGAGCTGCTCCTGCTTTCGTTGTCGGACTGTTGTTGACGACCATTAGGGAACGCGAACAAACGCGTTCACCAGGACCGCTTCGCTGGAGGAAGAAGCTGAGTTCTGGCTCAAATAAAAAACAAAACTCATGGTGACGCCGTCGAGGAGAACGGAAACGGACACAAGGCGCCGCTACAACCCAGCGGGCATCGAGATGTTTGGTGTTTGTTTTCCAAATGAAAAGCCTTCAGCATCTGAAAGCCTGCTCATCAGATCAGCCCTTCCCACACGGACTGAGACCCGCTGCTCCTCTTCTCCAACTCCTCTGCCTCCTCACCTGATCAAAGGATGGGATGAGTTGCAGCGTCCAGGTGAAGGATGAACAAAAAAGGAAAAGTGCAAGTCATCCAACTGACAAGTGGAAATATAGGATACGACTTTGTTTATTTGATAGTTTGTACTTAAGGTGGTACACCATCAATGGGAGGGGCCTGTTCAGAATAGGCATTTAAGATGAAACTCAAACATTTTGAAAATGATGCAAAACTTCATCTTTGTCAGTGATACAACCTAAAAGGTGAAACTTATATATGAGGTAGACTCATTCCATGCAAAGACAAATATTTTAAGTATTGATTTGTTATAAATTAGATTATTATGGATTACAGAACATGAAAACCCCACTTTTAAGTGTCACACATATATCCAAACACCTGCAAATGGTTCCTTTAGATGGTGTCTCAGTCTAAGGTGACTTACTGACATAAATGGACTTTTGCATTTTAGTTTCACCTGTAGGGTCACTCAGGTCACCGTAGACTTCTTTTTCTCCTGTTTACAATAAATACAGCAACTGGACTCAGAAGAAAAAGAATTTGGCCCTAAAGAGTAAACTGGATCGCATAAAATCTAATAAACAAGAATGATTGCTTGAAGAACCTACCAGTGGTTAAATTAGTTGAAAAGCATAAATTTATTATTAGTGTAAACGTTTTTGTACAACTTCATCCACTTCCAAGGTGAAAGAAAAGGGAAAACAATCTAATCTTGGTGATCCGTGTTGCTTTCATCAGTTAGAAATTATGTTTTCTCTTAAATATCACACACAACCTTTACCCATCCGACCCAGCTGCAACCATTCTCATGCACAATTTTAAAACTTTGAAGGTTCTTGTGGTTGTGTGATATTTATATTCCTCCACCTGCTCTCTTCCAGCTCACCTGACTGGACCGATGCATCCTTAGGATTCACTGATCGTGTTTCTGCTGCTACTGAATTAACAGGTTACAAATGTGACCACAACACCTTGGTTATGATTCCACGTCCAGTGTTAGCGGCGCTTTCCTACCTGCTGCTGTTGCGTTTTCCCTTTAATTAGATCATGTAAATAATCGGTTCAAAGAACAATATATCTAATATTTGTTCTTGTATTTTTCTGTTTCTGCAGACAATTAATGCAATATTTTAGATTATTTCACAAATTCCTATAAGAATTAGAGCATGAGTCTATGTTTTTAGCCTATAACCTGTGTGACCCTTTTAATTTATAACCTGTCTATACAGCTGCATCAAACCTACATCAAAGTAAGTAGAGTATGTTTGCTGTTTTTCTTGGTTTGACAAATAAAACACATGCAGAAATTGGTTTAGCTGATATTTTTTGCTGTTCGTCATTGCCCCCTGGTGGCTGTGTGTGAATTTGCATGTAACTAAAAAGGGCAGTGAGAAATCAGTCTGTTTGTATTTTAGAGTTATTCAAATTTATGCAATAAAAAAGAAAAAAACTAAATGTATATAGCAAGTGCAATACCCAGTTTAGCAGTTTTCTTCCCCACATTATCCACGTATTTCTTGTTTTTTCATTTTTAAATGTTCATCTCTGACTAACACGGTTTCGTCTCAACATCTCACAGATGCTTGTGGATGTTTTCAGCAGCTAAATTAAACCACTGCAGAAAGACCAGCAGAGAAACACATTTGCAGACTCTTTAAAAGAGCACATCTGCAATAGGAAACAATCAATAGATCTAGTGTCGTTTTGTGTGACAACGATAACAGGTGCAAAAGAATCGCCATGCATAGACATCTCTTAGATCCAACGGGAAATATTTTTATGTTTCCTGTTCTTTTCTGCTGCCTCGATGACCCCCAAAGCTGAGCTCATATTTTGACAGAGCAGTCAGCGGACACATCAACATGCCCCAGATGAAAGCCCTTCCTTCCTCCATCCTGACAGCAGCTGCCTTGAAGAGATGCACACATGTAAAAGAAAAAAAAATGGCATTAATGCTGCCAAAGAGCAGATTTACACACAAACAAGTGTGGTCTGGTGCTTTCCTGGAAATGCCAATGGGGCTGGTATTTCTAAAATAACAGCAAATTCGCTAGAATAAGAGAAAATGTGATGGACTTCCTTCTATTGTTTCAACATTTCTCAGGAAGTTGCAGTAAATGGTATCAGCTTTTTAAGACGTGACAAATAATCCTGCAATGCTGTTGATAAAACTGACTTTGTAGTTTGACAAAGAGCAGAAGGGAAAATTAACATAATCACTGTGCAATGAAACTAATCCCTGTAGCACAAATGTAGATGCTCGACAGCTGTTTGTTCAAACGTGTGGACTGCACCGGATTTCAATCACACCAAGCTGATTAAATAATCCTCTCAAGCCCACTCACATGGTCAGTTTCACAAATCCAATTAAATAGGTTGATTTAGTTTGTTTTATTGTGCTGATGCGTTCATCGTTCTCGCCTCTTCTTCTGCCTCCTTCTGCAGGCCCACTTCCACAGCCAAAGAGTGCGTGCACTGTGTGGGTCGGAGTTTCTGTCTTGTACAGTACCCAGCATTAGTCACCCAGGTTGGTAGATGAGGAGAACAAGCAGCTCAGGTGGGTGGAAATGCCCTCATATTGGATCACAGTAAGACCTCAACAAAACACAGAACAACAATGCTTTGGAAATAAGATCAGTTCTCAAAAACGTGGCCTTATAAATAGCTACTAATGCCTCTTAAAGTAGGCCTACATTGAAGTTTTCATCAAGAATAACATAAAAAGTCTTCTAGAAAGTACTATATGTAATTCTGGTGCTTTTTTATTAGACGTTTCTTTGAATTTAAGGGGTGCTTTTACACTCAACAAAAATATAAACGCAACACCTTTGTTTCTGCTCCGATTTTTCATGAGATGACGTAAAGATCTAAAATTCATTCCAGATACACAGTATTACCATTTCTCTCAAACATTGTTCACAAATCAGTCTAAATGTGTGATAGTGAGCACCTGTGCTTTGCTGAGATAATCCATCCCACCTCACAGGTGTGCCACATCAAGATGCTTATCTGACATCATGAGTAGTGCACATGTGTACCTTATACTGCCCACAATAAAAGGCCACCCTGGAATGTGCAGTTTTTTGCTTTATTGGGGGTCGGGGGACTCAGAACCAGTCAGTATCTGGTGTGACCACAATTTGCCTCACGCAGTACAACACATCTTCTTCGCATAAAGTTTATCAGATTGTCAACTGTGGCCTGTGGAATGTTGGTCCACTCCTCTTCAATGGCTGTGTGAAGTTGTTGGATATTAGTGGGAACTGCTAGACGCTGTCGTATACGCCAGTCAAGCACATCCCAAACATGCTCAACGGGTGACATGTCCAGTGAGTATGCTGGCCATGCAAGAACTGGGACATTTTCAGCTTCCAAGAATTGCGTACAGATCCTTGCAACATGGGGCCGTGCATTATCTTGCTGAAACATGAGGTGATGTTCACGGATGTACTGCACAACAATGGGCCTCAGGATCTCATCACGGTATCTCTGTGCATTCAAACTGCCATCAATAAAATGCACCTGTGTTCTTCATCCATAACAGATGCCTGCCCATACCATAACCCCACCACCACCATGGGCCACTCGATCCACAACATTGACATCAGCAAAGCGCTCATCCACACAACACCACACACGCTGTCTGCCATCTGCCCTGAAAAATGTATACTGAGATTCATCTGTGAAGAAAACACCTCTCCAACGTACCAGATGCCATCGAATGTGAGCATTTGCCCACTCAAGTCTGTTATGGCGATGAACTGGAGTCAGGTCAAGACCCCGATGAGGACCACGAGCATGCAGTTGAGCTTCCCTGAGACGGTTTCTGACAGTTTGTGCAGAAATTGTTTGGTTTTGCAAACCAATTGTTTCAGCAGCTGTCTGAGTGGCTGGTCTCAGACGATCTTGGAGGTGAACCTGCTGGATGTGGAGGTCCTGGGCTGGTGTGGTTACACGTCGTCTGCAGTTGTGAGGCCGGTTGGATGTACTGCCATATTCTCTGAAACGCCTCTGGAGATGGCTTATGGTGGAGAAATGAACATTCAATTTACGAGCAACAGATCTGGTTGACATTCCTGCTGTCAGCATGCCAATTGCATGCTCCCTCATTGCTTGTGGCATCTATGGCATTTTGCTGTGAGACAAAACTGCACATTCCAGGGTGGCCTTTTGTTGTGGGCAGTATAAGGTACACCTGTGCACTGCTCATGATGTCGGATTAGCATCTTGATGTGGCACACCTGTGAGGTGGGATGGATTATCTTAGCAAAGCAGATGTGCTCATTATCACACATTTAGACTGATTTGTGAACAATGTTTGAGAGAAATGGTAATATTGTGGAATGAATTTTAGATCTTTAAGTCCATCTCATGAAAAATCGGAGCAAAACAAAGGTGTTGCGTTTATATTTTTGTTGAGTGTATGTTGAAAGACATTTTACTTGGAAAAACCAATAAACTTTGGATCAAAACATCTGAAAATCAGTAGATATCAGCTTTTATTTATGCTTTTCAAACAACACGAAGTGCCCCTTTTTAAAAACGTATTCAGGAGTGTATTTATTTGAAACTAACTCCAATTTCATCGTTTGTGATTTAAATCAACAAAATTATTGTATGCATTCCTTTCTCCTAAAAAACAAAACAAAACAGGAGAGATCAAATTTAATCTGGAACCACACAATAGATTTCATAACAGATGTAAAAAATATAAAACTTCTAGATAAAAACAGGAGTTCAGTGAAAGGATGTTGGTAATCTAGTTCTGAGTCTACAGCTGAAAACTTCACTTAAATATAGTTTTTCTACTATAGGAATTAGAGAAAATTCCTGGGAGGGGTGAAAGTGATAAATGCGATGGCTCTGTCCAGTCTGACCTTGTGTCGCCATACAAAATCAGCCCTTTCAGGACTTTTCTAAGATGTCAACATTGTTGCGTCCGCTTTGTTGCAGGGTTAGAGTTAGGGTTAGGGGGTGTGTGACACACAAAAATGGCGTTCAATAACCAGAAGAGTCATGGTGCTCTGTAGACCACAGAACAGCGTAAATGGGGTTTATGCCACAAACCCTCATTATGATGTTTCCTGACTATCTAGCCAGGTTGCAATAACGTTTGTGTTCTCTAATGCACTTTAATAAGCGATCGTTGCAGGACCTGATAAGGATAATGATCAACAGGATCATCTGGCTCACCTTTAAGACACATAAAGACAAAGGTTTTAAATAGTAGGTGTCCACCAACATTCGTTATGAAGGTGAGTTAACAAACTTCTGCTTTGGGCTGCTAAATAGTGAGCCTAAGTTACGCCCACCTTCTTCCGAACCATGGGTCCCCGGAAGAATGAAAAAAAGGAGTGCGAGTCAATGGGGCAAAAAATGCTATTTTCTAATTCTGCTTGTTATGTGCCATGGATTTCACATATGATGTCCGTCAATTTTAAAGACGCATTTTGATACCAAGAACGCACTTATTTTTGAACGGGGGAAACGCTATTTTAGGTTTTATGTGAAAATAAGTCCAGGACTACAAATGCGCATCACGAAAGTGACGTAATCGAACCAGACACAGAGAAAACTGAGGGAAAAGGGCTGTAAGTTCAGCAAAATTCAAATCCTTCCCAAATCTGGCCATGTGGTAAGTAGCAGCTATGCTAGGAGAGAAGAGATTATGTGGTGACGTTACTTATGCGACCTGCCAATGTACTCATGCTAATTGCAAACTTTTACAAGCTGATAAATCTCAAAGTACGTGACTGGCATGGCTGAAATACCCATCATTAGTTTTCATTTAAACTGCAGTACAACATATGTGCGATCCAGGGCGTAAAGCTAAGCGGATTAGAAAATAGCGTTTTTAGTCCCATTGACTTGCATTCATTTTTTTCCTTCTTCCGGGAACCCATGAGCCGACCGGAAAGGGAGGAGACTTAGGCTCCCTATACATACATGCTAGCTCTTTACTAGTCAAAGTTAGCGATAGCATACAAATACCATGAAGAACAATGTGACCCAGAAATTATTCAGCTGGTTAAAATTCAAGGAATTTCAAGCCAGGGGTTTGTGGCATATAGCCACAAACCCCTGCTTCCGCAGCATTTACCAACATATAGAGTTTGGAAATGGTGATTTTTTTTCCTTCCATTTGGCTTCACTAGCCATTCTTCCAATTTAGCAAATGTCGGTTTCTTTGATGGCATTTGACAACCAGTCAACATGAGTTACTAACAAGTCCCGTGTAGCAACTCTACAAGCACTTTCCTTAATACAGGTACTTGGTTGTTGCTGAAATGACATAGAAAATGGTTCATACAGGCTGGGATGGTGAAATGGAGACAAGCATGTGGTGTGAAGGTCTGGTAAAATTATTCGATAGTGGAAACGGGCCTATAAGTAATGGCTTTTTGTCATTTTTGATTTTAACAAGTCATTGGAAACAAAATAACTCAGAAGCCAATTTTTTTAGGCTAATTCCATATTAGAGTGAGTTTATGTTCAAAGAGTGCAAGCAACAAAAGACAGGTCCAGCCCATCAGAAGTCCGAGGTTTTGCAGGAGAAACACAACACATGGTCTGTCGGTCTTCACTCGACACATCTCTGGAAGCTGGTGATAGAAAAGAGATGGTAGTAAAACAAAACCTTCAGCTGTTAAACAGTTTGATGGAAGCAAAGTAGAAATTTTTGTTCAATTGGCTCCTTTGAACTCCCTAACTTCACCAAAAACCCACTGGTTCCTCCTTGAGTAGACCTGACAGCTGAATTGGTGAAAAGGTGTTTCTTTCTTAGACAAATCAGGGCTATATTGAGAATTGAACACAAGTCTTGCAAATCCTTTATTTATTTATTTTTTATTTTGATCAAATAAAAAACAAATCAAGACCTGGTAACCCACTGAAGGAAACTGAATCTCTGTAAATGATTAGAGACCCTTTGTAAGCTCTTGTATGCCATTCAGACTTTTTACAGCTGAAGCCCGGGTCATAAGGCAGGATAATCATGCCAATTTTTGACCATCCATGCCCTTTCTGACTATTTTTAAGATGGCGCACAACTACCGTGATAGCTTTAAAATTAATCTTATCAGATGAGCGTACCTTTTGTGGAGTGGTAAGCCTAATTTATATTTCTTCGTCAGCTCCACGAGGGAGGGACGCACACGCATTGACAGAGACGTTTTGCTTTCAGACTTCTCCGTCAGCTAGGGATTGTTGCAAAACAATTCCGTGCCAGGACAACAGAGGGCGTAGTGCTATTCTGAGATATCCCGCCACCTTTAGAGTCACGTATCAGGTCCACGATGGTTTATTTACTGTTGTGATTACATTGTTTTAATGTATTTCAGAGACTTTTGAAGACGGACAAAGTTGTCCTTCATTCCTATCCACCTCTTTCCCCTCCACCACGTTTTGCGTCTTTTCCACAAATAAAATGCTTGCTACATATCTTTGTACTCTTCTGGCACGGGTGAATAAACGTTCATATTTTCAGACTTTTTCCACAATGCGTTCTTCAATTGTCACGGTATGGAGGGAAAGTGAGGGAGGAAGAGCGGATTATTCAGGCAGGTAAATCAACCCAGGCAAAACAGCAATAGACATTTGGTTCCTCTTTAATGATCAGGAGTGCAGACACAACAGGGTAGACAGATGTGAACACAAACTGACATGTAACGAGCATGAACCGACAAACTCACAAGCAACACACAAGGCTTATATACTAGGCGTTGTATCAGCTAGTCGACTAGTCGAATTCACTGCTCTGTAGTGACTTCTTATGCCTTTCATAGACTAGTCGCTGTCACTTGATAATGACCGACAAGATGCAGTCCTCGGAGAAGACAGCAGGTGATGAGCCCCTGCGCGTTGGGAGGCAACGCGCTGTGCCAGAGCGTCGGTATCTGATGCCCGCCGTAAAACGGACATTTGACCGAATTGTGACCTTTACCCTCTTGCAATGTAACCTTCCCCTCACCCCCATCCTAACCTTAACCAGCTTGCGCATGCAAAGCTCTGATCGGTGACGCGCTCCAGACATCTGCATTTTAAGCACGGCCACAGTAACATTATCAAATTAGGTGTCGCCACCTCAAAAACTAATTTAACACGCGATCGTTCATGTCAGCTCATTTCCTTTTATGTTTTCTGTCTTTTATTTGTGCCTAATGCGTTTCGCTGCTGTGGAGTGGAGCGCATCACCTGTTTTTTCCTCCGGTGATGCACCTCACTGATGCGTCCGGCGCGAACCCTGCTGACTTTGCGGTCGGTAGATCTTTTAGAACTACAGTTCAAAGGTAACTCATAAGGTGAATATATATGAAGTCAGGTAGCAGTTTTTCTTTTGGACTGAGATGAGATGCAGGAAGATAATAAACAGAGACAGGACATAAAAATTGTCAAATAAAAACAAGTTAGTTTTTGTACTTGGTGGTTGCAACAAACAGACACCATTGAACGTAATCAGAAGTGAGGAACAGAAAATGAAATTATTATTTTAACGTTTAGAGCAGCAGGAACTCTGAGAGGCTGCAGGCGCATCAGTGAGTTTGCGGCCGCTGTGCAGGGGGAGGGGGGAGAGGGCTCAAGCAAGATGCAGAAACTACCATTGTTAAAAGAGATGTGTTTAACTTAGAAAATGTGGGCGCAATTTTAATTGTCAAAAACTCCAGCGAAACCTCCCCCACCCCGACCCCACGTCGGAAAAAAACGCTTGGTCACCCATCGTCAGTTTTAGCCGCTTCAGGTGTATGACCTCATCAAGATTAGTCGAAGTCGACTCAATTTTCATTACTTGACGGTTGACTTTAAAAAAAATTAAGTCATGCAACCCCTATTATATACACTGTGGTGGGTAATCAGGTAACAAAAGACAGGTGGACACAATTAAGGTAAAACCCAAGGCACAGGGGAGCAACAATGTGACAAAACCCCCTTCTCAAGGGAGGCTCCTGACGCCCAGCAGCACCCGTTCACGGGCAACACACAAAACATAAGAGTCACTGAGAGTCAGGGGACCAGCATCCAAGGGCGGGGCAAAGCCATGGAGCACAAGGTAGTGATGTGACGTTCACGAAAAAATCAAACCTTTTGAACGGGTTTTCAAAGTGAACGATGAGAGCCAAGTCCCTGTAGGGAGCCGTTCATCTTGTCTTCCGGTAACAAACCTCCCCGGAAGTCGGTAAAGCGCACCCACTCAAACCCCACCCACCGCTGTGAAGGACGTAGGAGGAACCCTAACCAACCCTGTGCACCCTCATGGACACCGCAGGAACACGTTACTCTTAATACCTGCTCACCCCCCACCCCCCAGAATTGTGGCTTCAATCTGTTCTGTGTCAGCCGCTAAACATCTCTGAACGTCCTGACCAATCACAAGCTTGCGTTCTCAGTCTCTTTTGACGGATAGTTAAAAATTGAGGCATGTTTCCGTCTTCCTCTGCGACCCATTTGGCGGGCTCTTGCGTTGACGCATAATGGCATTGCGCGTCTCCATCTCGATGGAGAAGTATAAATTAGTCTTTACGATTGCCCTGGTCTGCTCAGAAGGTCGTTGGGACCTCTATGATTATAAATCAAGGCTTTCAAACATTTTCGATTGCCTTATTCTTATTTTGGAGGAGAAACGAACGTTGGATGATACCTGTAGTCAGAATTTTCCACTTCTCCCTATTTATTCACTTTGATGTCACGATTTACTGTGTGATTTCCCATCTGAGTGGAGAATGTTGTTGAGGGTCTGCCCTCATGAGAAAATTACTATGCAGTAATTTCTTCAAAAGACTGTGTCATCTGCGCTCTGAAAAAGCAGATCAAAAATCAGCGCCAGCAACAACTTCATTTCCCATGAGTCTTTGCACCCGGAAGCAACGTGATGATGTCACCAAAGCGATGCCGAACCCCGGAATGAGCTGGAACCACTCAGAGTCCAGCTCGCCGGACCGCCGAGTCTATAAAAGGGGAGACAAACTGAAACTTAACTCGTCTTTTGTTCAGTTCAACTGGCGTGAAGACGCACCCGTTTGCTACAGCTCCGGACAGCGTGTGCACGAGGCCTGGCGGCTGAAGTGAACGGAATGCCGAGCCGCGGAAAGCAGCGGAAAACCATCAAATCAACGGAGAACGCTGATTGAACACTGAGGGATGCCTTGCTGTTTGCTCGTTCAAAGTTTTCTCTCTCTTTCTCTTCCCGTTTTCTAATATAGTTCAAAATAAGCAATCAGACCGCGCAATTTGCTTTAAAGTAACACCAGGCTCTCCTCCGTACCAAAAAATGCCATTGGATCATCTCAAAGTAAGATCCTTCCTTACATTGTAATATCTAAGTTGTTTTGAGCTGTGGCCACAGCATAAAACAGATCGATAGATATTTAATTTGCCTTTGAGTGATCTTTTGTTTGTTTATTGATTTTTGTGAAGCGGTTTTGAAGTTTGGTGTTAAGTTTTACTGTGATTAAACGTGCTTCGGAAATTTAAAGTGCAAGTTGCCACACACACACACACACACACACACACACACACACACACACACACACACACACACACACACACACACACACACACACACACACACACACACACACACACACACACATTCTGGTTTTCCGTGTTTGGGGGGGGGGGACACACATACTTGTTTTTAGGGTTGGTAGGGGACAAGACTAAAACACACACTTATTGGGTCAGATTGTTCTACATTATCATTTCATTGTTTCATTGTTTGTATTCATTTGATAAAATTGGTTGGTTAATATTGATTGGCTAAACGCTTCAGAAGGAGCTGAAGTGAATATATTAGTTAAAAAGGTATTGCCAATTAAGATTTTGTCTCGGGAATTTGTTTGTGTGATATAAATTCATGACTGCTGCTCATTACGATTTCACGGAAAGTTCAGACAAGATTGATAAGAGGTGTGGATTCATTGTTCCCCTGTTAAAGGGGTGGTGCCCCGTGGATATCCTAATATCCTAATGAATTAATAAATCTGTAAATATTTCCATATTTATGAATTTATTGATTAATCCAAAAAGTAAGTAAAAGCTTACAAATTAATTATTCGTTACCATATATTCACAACAATGTCTATGAGGGAAACCATTTTTGTGGAGTGTGTAGTATTTGCAATGAGCTAACTGAGCTCATAACAGAAGTTTGTAGGCGCTTTCAGCCAGAAAAACACGATTTAGTGACTCTTAACGCATGCATTAAGCACGCGCCCTAAACGTGTCAATGGGAACTTGCTCTGTTTTGGAGCCAGCACCTAATGGATGAGGGGGGCACCGTGATTTTTTTCACTTCCACGCTCGTTTCACTTTTGACTGAGGGAGTTTGCCCCTTGAGTGTTTGTCATGTTTCTCCACGACACACACCAAACCTGATATCTGTCACTATGTGTGTCATGTCTCATGCTTAGAAAATTTGCCGACAATTTATAAACCCTGCCACGTGAGCTGAGTTATAGTGAGACAGCAGCTTTAAAAGAGTCCCTTACCATTTCACCTAGGGACAAATAGAGAAATATCCCAGCTGTCACAGAGAAGATCCACTGCTGTACTTCTATGTCTGAGGAAACAAAAAGTCCGATGTAGAGGCCCACGAAGGCTGTCAGCGCACTGAGGAAGTTCATCAACATCGCAGTTTTTACTGAAAGTCCGGAGCTGAGTAACACTGCAAAGTCTCCTAAAAGACAAGAAATAATTTAATTAAAAGAAGACATTGGCATGCATGTCAATAAAAGCTAAAGGATGACTTCTCACCCATCTCATGTGGGATCTCATGGCACAAGATGGCCACAGTGGTTGCCATGCCAGTCTCAGAGGAAGAGGAGAAAGCCGCCCCGACAACCAGGCCATCTGCAAAATTATGAAGACTGTCTCCCACAATTACCATCAGAGCCAGCAGTGGAACCCCTTGTTCTGGACACACAGACCGGGACAATCGCTCTGTTGTGCCAGAAAGCTCATTACAAAACTGTGGAGCTCCTTTTGCTGGAACTGATCAGCTTACTCTGCTGTGGAAGGCTCTTGAAGTTTGTGTGTTCAGGAGGTATTTCTGTGCACTCTAAGTCCTCCACTGCTCCCTTTAAAATAGACACATCTGTTAGTTATCCGTTTCTTACATGTGCCTGTTTTAGGCTTTATAGGTGAGGGTCTTTTGAGACCCATCTTTGTCCAAAAACATCTGATTTTGAAATTTTCATTGAATATAAAACAAGCATTATAGACGGTTTAATCCTCATTCTCCAACATCCTACATGTTTTGTTTCTCTGCTCCCTCCCACGATGCTCATTGTGCGCTGTTATATAACAACAGCGCAGGAAGTGAATTTCAGTGTTTATTGAACATGAATTTTGTATGTTAGTAGGTAGAAGCATGGGTAATCTCTTTATTTGATATGTGGTCTGGTTTTGTTGCTTTTCTGATAATCTTCCAAGAGTGGCCATGCCCATGTTCCCCATTGCCTGTTTGGTAATAATATAAATAGAAGGGATGATGACAGGAATAAGGGGTTTTCTGCCAGGAATATTTAGCAAAAGTTCAACGAGAGTTGTGCGGAGACTCACTAACTGGATGGTGGAAATGGACTTGCCCCTCTGTGACTGACCATTACAGTTTATCTCCAAGGGAAGGTCACTGAAGTCACCCTGTAGACAAAATATCAGTGGACCATTGTTACTCAGTGTGCAATGTCATGATTTAAGTGTTTGTTTTTTCCTCAACACTCTCACAGTATAAAAGATAAAGGAAATCAGCTACAGCTTCACACTTTCCCTCACAAGACTGCAGTCCACTTACATCTGAAGGACAAGGGACACACTTTTGAAGATTACAAACACAGAGGAGATAGTTGGTTTGAGACAGGATTAAAGGAAGCTTTCTATATGAACCTACATCAAACAGAGGAAGAGGGCTCAGGTTTCACCTTTCCAGTACCTACAATGCATCTCTGAACCTATAATTCCCAAACAGTTTCAGTATAGGTCACACTCTCCTACATCTAATAAATACAACAATTCCACACAACAGAGGAAAACGATCCTGACGACTCATCAGGAGGTAGGGAGGAGGGGTGTTTATAAGTAGTTTCTGCTCGTTAAGCAGAAACTCTTAAGAGTAAAACTCTTACATGGTTATGAGAAGGGACTAAAAAAGAAAATATTTTCTCAATGAGAAAAAATCCATAAATCCCAGCTATCAGGCCCAGAATCTTCCACAAATACTCGTCTTCATTGTAGAGCTTGTCGTTGTGACCATGAGGACCATCATGAAGGCCGAGGATCTGTCAAGAAATGAAAGGAAACAAAATTTACTTCAGCAATACATTTGATTTCTTTTATTTATATTTTTTTGTGCTGCAAAGGTGTGTAATGTACCAAAAGGGTCAATTTTCAGCCATACACTGTAATAAATTGTAGGCCAGAATAACTTCAAAATGAAAGTTCAACAGCTGCCTTAAAAACTTGTCATGTCAACTTAAATGAACACTTTCTTTCAGCTCTATATGCCAAGTTGTACAAATATCGTAAATAATAACTACGCTTTGTTTGAATATTATATTGTGAGTCAAAACAACAAATCTTATACAACAAATCTTATTAGATTACAAAGTGGAAAAATCATTTTATCTTGTTAAACATGCACACAATTCTACATTATGTCAACTTATAAATTAGAGTTAGACATGTTATGGTTGTCCATTCAAATGAAAAGTTTTTGTTAACTTAACAAATGGATTAATTGTTTGAACCCGTGTTGTCAAAACGGCAGCTGTCATGCCAAGACAGGCAAACGGTGAAGCAGGAAGCTAACAACACTGAAAAATGCTGACTAACTCACGCCACTTACACAACACAAGGAGTTGACTCCTGAGCATTTAGTGAGAACTACAACTTTATGCAGTGCAGTGGAGTGAAACGGCACAACGTTCTTATTCCTACGACCGCCCTCCTCACTTTCGCTGCCAACATGACAACAACAAATAACTCCACCTTCGGAACACTAAACAAAGCAAAAACTAAGAACAACACAACCGCCCACAATAAATGTGCAGAAACACCTCAAATTTGAACAAAATAACTAAGAACATGACTACCCACAATGCACCTCACCTATTGCAGCTTTCACAGTGGGTGGGTGGGGGTGGGAGTGTCATTTTTTAAATCTATAAATTGCAGTTTTAAGTTGACTGAACACACGAGAATGAGAAAAATATAATCATTTGTTGAAATAACAAGCAATTTTAAGTTTTCAATATCAAAACACATAAAATTGAGTTTAACAATTCAAACTTGATAGGTAGACTTAGGTGAAGTAGGAAAAATAAATTGTAACAACTTTTTGAGGCTGTCTTTTTTTACAATGTATATTGATCAACATATCCTTTCATCCACAAAAATAAATCCACTTTCTATGTGGCCATCTAAATCCAGAAGGTTCTGCTCGGCGCGTGTTGACATTCCATGAAGGTAAATCATTCAAACAAACATTCTCTCCCAAGGTTCCTCGTACTCTCTGTGAACGCCAGACGTCAACATTCTTCACTCTGAATAAGTGAAAACTCCATGATTTTACAGTTATAAGTTAAATAATCATATCTGATGAATGAACAAGATGTTTAAATGAAATGTTTGAATAACCTGTGCTTAAATCAATGAATTTTAAATGAATTTTGTTCTCACAATGATCCATTTATCTCACAAATAAGTATGTTTTGATTTAACAAGTTAATCATTGTTTACACTCATACACATTACAGTAAGATACATATTAAGGTCAAGAATTTTGTATCTGAAAGAAGGCGTGGCTTTCTGAGGGATGTTGGTAAATACTCAGAAACGTGTCAAATGATTTGCCAGAATGGCCAGAAATCATAACAAAGTAGTTTAATAAAACAAGAATTACTTCCCGAGTAATTCAGTTTCTCGCTGACCCTCGAGCCGGCCAATTCGGGAAAGAAGCATTTATGAAACCATCTCTCCTTTGACCTCCTGTCAAAGCCTCTCTGCAACAATGCGGCTGATACCAGACAACCGGCTCTTCTAAGAGCCACGCAAACATCAATCTTATACGTAAATAAGCATTCTAGCTTCCTGCCTTCACCTCGAGGGATCTCAGACTGGATGGGTCTAATCGGAGCGGTCTACGGGTTCCTGATATCAGAGGTTCACTCTACCGGGAGTGACCATCGACCCCCCGGATCGAACAAGAACCTCCACACCAAGGGTGCATAGACTTGGCAGGACAGATTGCATCTGATGATGTTTTTAATAAACAACTCTAGTTTAGAACCAAACAACAAATTCTTTTACACCCAGATTTCATGCTTTCTCTCAGATACAAAGAACAGTTGCTACAACATCTAGCTTCCATCACAATACCTCACATCCACCACACAACATCTCATTATTCATATCTTGTCGTTTATAAATTATTAGTTTAGGAAAAAGAATTAAATTCATTTTATAAACCATATACCTGACTCTGTCTGAATTAATACGAAGTGTGTTTATGGTCCCTAAAGAAGCAAAGAACCATAGAATCTTCTGATTAAACATTCAAAGATCAATCAGATTGATATTTCATATTTATATGGAATCATCACATCTTATTGGTCATAATTAATATGTATTAATTGCTACAGGTGTACCTGTGGAATGAGGTGCAGGAGAGCGTCTCCTGAGAGAGTCCCCACTGCCAGGCCTACAAAGAGCTGCAGGATGAGTGTGTATGTCTGCTGGCAGGAGTTAAAAAAGACCAGACAGATACCAAACATGGAGCCCACTGTAATGACCAGAACAGCTGCTGTGCTGTAGCCGTACTCTGCAGAAAGGAGGAAACGTCAGAAAAATCAGTTCTCTGTTTAAACTCTTTCTATAAAATTATCTTTTTTCACATCTGAAAACTGACCAAATGTCGGTTGGTAAAATTAGAGATGTCCGATATTAACGGCCTAGCGGGCATTGAAATGTAAAATCGGAGATTATCGGTATCATAAATTAAGTGTTAGACTGTAAAAAATGTCCATAAAAATTACAGTGGATTCCTGTGAAATGGCAACAGTAAATGACCATTAAATCAAAAAGAGTAAAAATTTTTAAAATATGTTAAATTACTGTAAATCAAGAAATGGTAAATTGCTTTAATTATTTACAATGCTATATTGTTAAAAAGGCATTAATTTATCGTAAAATGTCACATTTTTATTAAGAAAACAGGAAGTTTTCATAACAATATTTGCAATGAAGCACCATAAAATTAACAAAATCCAGTTACAGTTAACTGTATAAAATAATATGGTATTTAATTAAAAATGTAAATATTATGGTGACTATCTGGCAGCTGCGGTTACCGGAAAATCACCGTAATATTTACATTTTTAAATGAATACCATTTGATTTAATGCAGTTTAACTATATTTAACAGTGGCAGTGGTTATTTCTACATGAATCACATTAAACAGTTTTACAATATTTAATGTAATTCTTAAAAAACAACAGTTCTCTGCTGGGAAATTTATGATTACCAAAATATAGTACTGGTGTTTTCTTTACATTTCCACTGTAATTTTCACGGTGAAATTCTGGCAACCACAGCTGCCAGTTTTTCACCGTAAATGTAAAATTTTTTACAATGTATGATTAAATCAGATATCAGAAAAAAATTTATATAAAAGCTGATTTCGAACATCCCTAGTCAAAATGAGATTTTATAAGTGTGTCTTACTCTCTAAAGCGGTTGGTGGCGACCCTTGTGTTTTTGTCTTTGCTGGTACGCAGGCTTTCCCTAGCAGTTGTTGAATGATGGCTGGGCAAATGTGTCTGAATTGCTCCTTAGAAATAGGAAACTGAGGGTCCAGAGCAAAGATATCCACCAGCTGATTGGCTGAAAAACAAACCTGATTGGGTTAAAAGAAAACGTAAATTGGAATGAGCAAAAAGCTATCAGATTCAGGTTTTGACACACGTACACCTTTTATTCTACATCCTGTTTAAAATTCCTTTACCTGTGCCCAGTTTTCATGCAAATTCTTGGCAAGTTTCTGTGAACTTTCTGTAATCCTCCGCCTATTCCTCTTGTGATGGTGCATTGCTCCTTCGTGTCCTATTCCTAATTGATGAAGCAGCTCCTGCAGGTCTAAGTGGAGAAACAGCCACTTGGTCAGCTCTAATTCTTAAAAGTTTGACAAATGGGATTTATATTGTTAAATCAGGTCTGGGTAGTAAGTATTCATTAATTTTGGGATATTGTCTTCTTGGTCAGGGGGTTTACCTTCTGACATATAATGGAACTCATCTTTTTTGTAACAGGACATACTTTCTTTTCTACTCACCATTAATCTGCAGGTGATTTGTACAGTTCAAAGACTGAAATATGTAATCTGTAAAGAAAGCAGGGAGTGGGAGGTTCTTCTGTGTGAAACAGTGTCCCAGCAGGATGTGGCTGATTATGGCTGCTGCTACTCTGGGTACTGTAGCACCTGATTTTCCCTCTACATCATCATCTTGTAGAAGATGGGCTGAATCAACACACTGAGGATTCAAACAAAAAAACAAGTTCATGTGTGTGTATGTGTGTGAATAGGAAACATCTGTCTGAAAACACTTCCTTACTTGTGTATCAGAAGCATCCTCTTTGGAGGGGTGATAGTGCTGGTTGATGAGCTGCAGAACACGCTCTGCCTCATTGTGTGACAGGAAGTTATTTTCCTCAGCTGGATGCAGATTTGCGAGGGCCAGAAGGTAGAGCTGCAAATTCCCAGACGAGGAGGAACGGGATGAAGTTGAGACAGTATTTGAAACGCACAGATCTTCCAAGTTTAATATGTAATATAGCAGAACAGTTGAGATTTGCTGGTAGTCTTCCTCATTGAGGTACATTTTATCATCATCCTCGAGGCCTGAGAGGACTGTGTCGGGTGTCAGGCACTGCAAACAGAGGATCAAGATGTAAAGATTCAACTATTGGACAGATCGGAAAAGACAAAATGTTCTTATGAAAGTCTGTCCCTTCTTTCTTGGAAAAAGGCGAGCTTTGTTGTAACATTTAGACATGAACGTTTAAAAATGTAAAGGTGCGTTATGTAAGAATGAAGTTCGAATGACATCCTACGGTCAAATTTGGGATCTGCAGCCCATTTTTCTAATACATGAGACACTTTCTCTGTCCTGAATTTCACGGCTGTTGCATTTACAGCTCAGCACCAGAACATTCTAGATGGCAAATGGTCTTACACAGTAAGATGATACTTAGATACAGTAAATACATTTCATTTTAATATCGAGTTGAAAAAGTAACTTGAGTTTTAATATATTTATTTTTTGCTAATTCACCGTTAGCATCGATAGCTCAACATTAGCCTTTAGCCTCCTTTATCCATAATTTAGAGTAAAACAAAAAGATGCCGTGCCTTCTTAGGGGTTCAAGAAATGACTTCTGGGTCGCTCCTGTTTTCTGGCTTTGGATTTTAAGCAACTCTGGAGCTTTTTGCTTGCCAGTGTTGATCTACAAATGCCAGTGTAGCAGCGTTAGCTTGCGTAGACTCGGCAATCCTGCAGGCTCACAGATAGTAACCAAAGACGTCTCTTTTTGGCTATTTTGAAAAGAGGAAAACTGACAACCCCCAGCCGGCTGAGAAGGGAATCAATTTCAATGTAGCCTTCCTTCCAACATGATTGAGATGTTGGACGTCGTGATTATTTTGCTGTAGAATTCATTTATGTTGTACCTTTAAGGAACATGTAACATCCTGGTCCTGGTTAAAAAAGTTGCTTTAATGATCTCTACAATTTGCTTTCAAGGCTTGAAGCACATCATCCCATTGACCAGCTACCTAAAAACAAGCTGCACCTTTAATCCACTCTATGGAGTTTATTAATGTCAAACCAAGGGATGTCTAAATCCACTTAACGTGAATAAAGGTCAAGTTTTTAAGCCTACACACACACACACACACACACGTGCGCGCGCCCACACACACACACACACACACACACACACACACACACACACACACACACACATTCCACTCCCAACAAGTATTTTTAGACAGGACATGAAAATTATAGTCCTTGTCGTACTTATTATGTCTAAATGAATTAATTGTTTACATCAATAATGACATGGATCTTACTTTTTTACACATGTTCTGAGTCATGCCAGTCCTCTCTGCACAATGTACATCTCGAAGCAGTTTGTTTATCAGGAGGCCAGTTTGGTTCCTCTGGAGTCCAAGCTTGTCGGCTCTCCCCAGGGAAAGGTCCAAGGTCCTGAGGGCTTCCTGCAGATACTCCTGGTCCTGTGCTTCCCCCTCTAGCATACAAAGATGCAGCAGCAGCACCAAACATGGAGCCATGCTCCTAAAGTGCATGTTCCTATCAGCTCTGTCAGACTCCCTCAGACTCCCAGGACTTAGAAAGGGAGAATGCCCGGACAAGAAAATGAAGGAGATTTTAGAAAAGGATAAATGACAACATCAAAAAGCTTCGGAAAGGGAAGAGCAGCGATATATTGTTGCTGAAGGAGGCATCAACAAGGGCTTAGCGATCGGTCCTTGCAGAGTCTAACAGTTAGTGAAAGCCTGGGCCCCTCTGTGCACAACAAAAGGATTAGTTCAGGCAAGTGAAAGAGAACAAGGCTGAAATTGGGGCCCATAAAGAGACGAGACTGAACAGAAATTAATTAGTATTGAGAGAAAACAGAGATAGGGAGAGGCTGTTAATCATATACAGTGATTATTTGGAAGTCCACATGTGACACGTGGATGTAAAAGCCCTGTGCAGGTGACAGGAAGTGCATTCTTTTATTAAAGTTGTTTGATTTTACTGTGAAATGAAAATAATTCTGCAGCAATGACATTTTAAAACTACATGAGCTAGTTTGAATGACTAAATGTTATTTGAGCCTCATTGATGCTCAGATCTCAGCTTTGTTAGTTTGGTTTTACAATCTGTGACTCATCAAGGGTTAAACACACAGAGCAAAACTACCCGAGCTTACCGGTATCTTCATGGGATATCCCGCAGGACAAACTGGCCCAGCAGGAAGAAGATAAAAAATAATCCTGGAAACTGCAGCAGCACCTGATATAGAGTGAGAAGACCAGTCTGGTCTAACTGCCTCCCCAATGCCCTTTTCCAGCTGCTAGGTTTGTTTTCCTTTGACGGTTGACCTCAAAGGACAAACAAAAGTTCCAGCTCTTGTTTGGGGAAAATTCTTGAGGATTGATGTTGTTGGTAAAACCTTCTTACAAGAAAAAAAAGTTTGATTAAGCTCCTACGGATTAGCGGCGACAGCCGGGCTGCTGTTACCATGGAGATCGCAGCTTGATTTTCAAACGCAAGGTGATGGGGGTGGCTACTGGCTAGCCACTAGCTGTCACTTCTACTTGTATCTTGTTTTGGTTGTTTGAGTAGCAATCAGAAGTCCAGGAAAAACGACCTTCTGTTCACTTCTTCTGGTATGACAATGCAGACTTTTAGTCCTAAATAGGCTTTGAGTTTATTGTAAAGTCACATAACTCGGACCCATGATCCATTAAAGACCAAGCTCACTAGTTCTTTTGCAGTGGTCTCTAGTCTAAATGCATGTATTGTGAGTCTGAGTCAATCTCTGTGGGGAAAAAAGTTCTGGCGCTGCTGTTTCAGGAACTAGAAGTGAGCCAGAGGAGAGAGAGAGCAGCAGTTTGGTTTTCTGATGCGCATGTAAACACACTGACTGACTCTGCTTTGCAACATTGATGTTTTAACAACTAGCACAAGCCTGAAAGACTTCTCCCGTGTTATGGAGTTGCTGTTGCTAACAGTTGGCTTTTGCTAGCTCTCTCCTGGACACTAAATCAACCTTTGCTGTTGTGAGCCAAGATGGGTGAGTCCATAAATGTTAACATTAATTAATCTAATCCAAAAGTTTCCTCGTCTGTTTTCAAATGCTGGAAATAAAGGTAGAAGACTCAGAGTGACCGATCATATTTCAAAAATAACAAGTAAAAGCAATAGATAAAGCAGTCATGAAGCTCAATAAACAGTTGTGTCAATAGAAACAGAATTAAACAGACAGATCAATTTATTTTAACTTATTTAACTTTTATTTACAGAATCACCAGGAAATACGAGAGTGGCAAACAGCCCCTTGAGAATATTCACAACACTTTAGTTTTGAAAGATCTGTTGATTTGTAATAAAACAAGCTAACCTTTGGTGAGTTTAAACATGTACACATACGTTCTTGGTTGCACTGATTGAAACAGTCCCAACAAGTTTGTGCAAATTCATTAAACTTATTTTTATTAGTGTGCTTTTAAAAACATCAGTATGTAAAATCTTGTGTTTACTTAAGTACAACGTCAGACTTATAATTTTTATTAACATCTTTTTGCTTCTGAAAAAGATGAAAATAACACTGGAGCATTTCTTTAACATCTTTTCCAAAGTCTTTTTAGTCTCATGTTTTCTATGCTTGTTCGTTCTGCTCTATGTTGACCACCAAGCCTTTAGTGTCCACAGGAGCTCGGTTTGGATTGTTGAAGTAGAGCTTGTTGTCAAACGTGCACTCTCCCAGGACAGGTGTGGGTATTTGTATTCGATTACGGAACAGGAAGAAGGCCCCAAGTCCAACTAAAGCAATTATAATTAACACTATAGCTACAGGGATGCCAGCAGATCCATGTGAAACCTCTTGAAAAACAGGAGCTAAGGAGACACAAGCAGAACTTCAACTTGAGACATGCCTTGGAATAAATTTGGTTTCATGTACATTTACTTACCAGCAGATGGAGCCTTTTCTGTGGGGTTTATAACTACAAAAATAATGCAAACAGCATAAGAAACTGTTGGGTCAATGAATCAATCAAACTTTTCTATATAAGACCTTCCACTTCCGTTATGGAAGCCCAAGGTGCTGAACAACACATATCCAAAATGACATGTCAAGAGATTAAAGAAGCATTAAAACTAATTAAGATGTGATCAAAAGGCATTAACACAAAAATTAAACATCATTAGTAAAATTAAGATATATTAAAAACAATTAAAATAAAAGTCAGATGCTAAAAATGGGTCTCAAAGACCTACAATGATTGTGACTCATTGCAAAGAGTTGCAGACAGATAAAACCAGGAACCTACTTTTAGGTCTTTTGCAGATGTAAGATTTATATTCGAAGCAGGGTCTTGTGCTCCACTGTCCACTGTCAGAATGGATGGCAACACACATCTCTGACTTTGGAAACCCTGATTTCCAGTTTGTGTAGTCCAAAATGCTGTTATCAATCCACATCCAATCACCTGAAACAAAGAAACAGGACTAAACTGAGTAAGACAGTAGCTACATTAAACTTCAGCTCAGAAAATGTACTCTCTTTATTCAAGTACAACAATTAAAGGTGTGGTTCACTGAAAACCCCTTTTTATGATTATTTCTGATTATAATCTGTCACTCTGAGTTTTTCATGCAGGCTGAACATGAAAACAGTCTCCTACACCTATTTCCTGTGTTAGCTTCTGATAGAAAATAGATGGTGAAACTCTAGGATTTGGAAAGCCTGTCCACTTGCATTACTTGGTTCTTTTAAAACATAGAAAAAAAGTTGTTTTTTATCTTGTTTTGCTAACATTTAGGCTAATTACTATAGCCATCCTCAGAACTACAACAAGCAAACAACAACAGAAAGAAAGAAAATCACAACAAAAACAAGAAACCAGAAATCCAGAAAAACAAGAATCAAAACCAGTGATAACTCTTCCTTACATCAAAGGCATCACAGAAAAAAATAATAGCGATAATGAAAAAACACAACATAAACACACCAACTAAACCCACACTTAATAGTTAGAAAAAGACTAGTACACCCAAAGGACAAGATATCAGCAGGACATAAATCAGTCAGAGTCATATACCAAATACAATGCAAACTGCAATAAAACATACATAGGAGAAACTGGACGGCAACTCAACACATGAACAATAGAACATAGAAAGGAATGTGAGAAGGAAACACAACCGAAGACACACAAGAGCAGCAAAACAAGTCAGAAATCACAATAAAGAAATCAGCCGTAACAGACCACTGCACAAGAGAAAATCATTATATGGACTGAGACAAAACAAGGATCATAAACAACAAAAATACAAAAGCTGGATTAAAGAAGCCATAAAAATAAGGACACATGGACCCAGGACCATGAAGAGAGACGATGGAGTCTACACGTTAGATCACGCGTGGGACTGTCATTGAGGAGGAGGGTGCGGGCAGCAGAGGGTGACATCGTCCTCTAACGCTTGCGAATAAATGTAGGAGGTGGCTATAGTAATTAACCAAAGTGTTAGCAAAACAAGGTAAAGAACAACTATTTTTTCTGTTATTAAAGAACCAAGTAACGCAAGTTGACAAAATAACAGAAGCATGTCCACTCTGTGTCCCGCTGACCCTTTGCTGAAACTTTTATTGCACCGATCTTGACTCACGATGGGGAAGGCTGTTGTTGTTTTAACGTCCGGGAATCAGCAGTGGATGTCTTGCCTAGTAGAAGCTAACCAATAGCATTGGCAACATCACCACACAGCAGAAGCTCCTCCAGGCTTATGTTATTTGTGAAGATAAAACATAAACTTTGCAAGTTAGTGGAAGAGTGTCATTGCTGTTATCCAATCCGAGGCAAGATGTCCTAATATCAGGAAATAAGACTCCAAAACCTGCCGTCTGAAGCTCAACTGTGATGTGAACAACTTTTAGTTCCAAGAAATGGTGCACTGCTGTATTTTTCCCCCTCGAGTATGATTTACAAGGCGTTCATTCCTACTAGAGACCACTGCAAGTACACTGATTAAATTAATGAACCACACCTTTAAAGGAGACATAAAATTATTATTTTTATTAAGTCTTATGGTCCATACAAAGCGTGTTCATGATGTTCTTTGCACAAGATCAATCATACATTCTGTAAGTGGTTAAAATGACTCGTTTAGTCACAAAATTGATGTTTTGTCTTTGTTATTATTATTTTTTTCCAAATTAGGAGTGCCAATAGAGACAGTAGAGAACCACATGGCAGCTCAAAAGACTGTAAAACTGGAGTTTTGCATATGTCCTCTAAACTTCAATCCAGTATACTCACCATCATAGGACTTGTGCAGACCAATCCAGAAACTTTTTACACCGTCCTGCAGAATGTCCAGATTCTGTTGTATGAATGTCCCCTCAACAGGGTCCTCGATACTCACTAATGATGCACCTGGTAACCGCAGTGACACATTGTTACAGTTCATGCAAACAAAAATGTATCAATAAACCAGCAGTGTTCTATGCTTTCGTTCTTTTTTAAACACAGAAACAGTTTTGTTTACCTGTTTGTAGCTACGGTTTCGCCGACAGCTGCCGGCTTCTTCAGGCTGACGCTGATGGTGGCGCGTCACTTCCTTCTCCGTTTATCTGCGGGCAGCAGAGGACGTTGTCGCCCTCTACTGCCCGCTCTCCCCTCTCCGACGATGCAGTCCCATGCGTGGTCCAGCGTGTAAACTCCGTCGTCCCTGTTCATGGTCCCACATCCACGTCTCCTTATCTCTATTGCTTCCTTGATCCATCTTTTGTATTTTTGTTGTTCAGTGGTTATGATCCGTGTGCTGTCCCAGTCCATTATATGGTTTTCTCTTAAGCAATGATCTGTTACGGCTGACTTTTTTATTGTACTTCTGCTTCTTCTTTTGCTGCTCTTGTGTGTTTACGATTTGCCTCTTTCTTGCACTCCTTTCTGTGTTCTATTGTCCGTGTATTGAGTTGGCGTCCGGTTTCTCCTATGTATGTTTTATTGCATATTTTGCATGGGATTTCGTAGATGACTCCACATTTTTGTCCAGCTGATATTTTGTCTTTTGGGTGTACTAATCTGTTTCTAACTGTTGTGTATGGCTTTGTTGGTGTGTTTATGTTGTGTTTTTTCATTGTTGCTCTTATTTTTTCCGTTATGCCTCTGATGTATGGTAGGGTTATCACTGGTTTTGGTTCTTGTCTTTCTGGGTTTCTGGTTCTTTTTTTTGGGTTGTTCTTTGCTTTCTGTTTTTGTTTGTTGTTTTCCTTTGTTTATTGCCCATGTCGGGTATCTGCAGGTCTTTAAAGCGTGTTGTATGTGTTTGTCCTCTTGTTTACGGTCTCTCTCTTCTGTTATTATGTTTGCTCGGTGATATAATGTTCTGATTACTGACATTTTGTGTATGGTGGGGTGTTCTGATGTCCATAATAGATATTGGTCTGTGTGTGTTGGTTT